ACAACCTAATATTTAATGACAAGCTTCCTCAGTTTATAATACGTTCTACAATATAGCATACGATCAATTAAATGACTCGAGTGCAAAGTAACGAACATACCGCGTCTACCACCCACGCGTTGGGAACCTCTGGTACAGGGTGTCCCGGATCGTTTCTCGATCGCGTCTCTTCCATTTCCACGGTTTAATTGCCGGCTGCAACGGAGCCGGGGCAGCGTTGGGTTAAAAGTTTCCGTGTCGTTTGTGACGGGCAACGAGCGTTGCGTGAGCAACCCGGCTCGCGGCTCCACAGCGCGAATCGGAAAGAGGAAGAGCCAGAGAGAGGGGAAAAGAGTCCGGAACCAACGTGTCAAGATCGTTGACTTCGCGTGATCCGATTATTCGACCCCGATCCACTTTCGTTTCACTTAAAATATCGAAAAATCGACTTAACATTATCTTCTGAGAGATTCATATATAATCATTATTGCATTCAAGCGAAGCTATTTATTTTGTAAATCATTTCAGATATTTAACCCTTTGCACTCCGAAGTTTTTCACTAGAAATATTTCAACATTTTCTGATGAAGACGATATTTTGTAAAATTAAGTCGACGAGAAATTCGAATTGACGGACAAAGCTATTTTACGTGAATATTTCTCAGATTGATGGATTATAGGAAGTATAATATTGAATATCAAACTTTATAGCTTCACTGTAGGAAATGAAGTGATGACTGTGAGTCACCTCCCGAGTGCAAAGGGTTAACACTTGTAAAGTATCATTAATAATAATAATTGCAACATAAGAACATTGAAAACTGTCATTGTGACAGATATGGTGGTTCTAGTGCTGAGAACTTAAGTTTGTCTTGAGTTCGTTGAGAACATGGAAAATGAATTGTAATATTACAGAGTGAGGGGTTGGAAATGGTTAATTACGGTTTCGGAAGATGAACCGTTTTTCCAATGCTTGGCATGAAAATCTGCAGTCTAACGCGACTGCTCGGATATCCGCGAGGAACGCGAGAGAATCAGCTTTCCGGACAGTTCGGGGACAAACCTTTCTGACGGCGAACTCCGTTGAATTTCGAAAAGGATACATTTCTTGGAAGAAGTCCAGGTGCGGTGGCTGCAGGATGTCCAGGGCCGAGAGGACCTGCGAGAACAAAAAGTTATACGATCAATAGAAGCTCCTGGAAAATTAACCCCTTGTTTTATAATACTACAACAATCGTTCTTTATTATCGATCGTTACAGTTTGAAATGAACGTGAATGAAATTCATAATTATTAACCCTTTGCGGAGATCGGATTTTCATATTTGGAGCAGTAAATAGCAAACAAATGATTCAGTCACTGAAACATCAAGAGTTCAGTACGTAGTTTCCTATTTTTCTATTGTTCAAGTCGATATATAATTTAGCTTCATCTGTTGAGGGAAAGGGTTAAATAGATTTATCGATAGATTAAATATTTAGTCCTTTGAAAGAAATTAACGACGAAGAGAATGGTTCGATTGTTATGAGTTGAAAAGAAGGGTTGAAAAGCAGAAAGAGACATCGAGATTTCGAATGTTCCTCCTAATCCGCGGCGAAGCTAAATTCTCGCAGTGTTTCAATGAAACGAATTTACAGAACATTTGTAATTAAACGTGCTCTCCATAAATTTCACAGATATTATTTCAGACTGATGATCAATATCCATTCGTTTTGATTACATTAATATCTCGTATTATATTCGGTTTCCGTTTAACCGCGATCGCGCAATTACTGAAATCAACCGATAGAAATTTCCACGGTAAATTATCGAGTGTCTCGCGGACCGCTTGTCAAGGGAATTTTCCAATGAAAAACAAACAATCGTAAATACAGAATGCACGATGAAAAACCAGTTCTATTTGGAAGTATACGATCGTTTCATTGAACATAGAATTCGATGCTACTTTTCGCGCGGATAAATGATTTACAAATTAAACACACATTAAAAAGCATTCGAATGGAACGAAGTTTTCGAAAACGATTGCAATTGATATCGAAAATATTTACTAATTTATATTATCTGAATTATTCGCTAATTACTAATATTTCTAAAATTCAGTATCCTCTTTCAATCAATGTACAAATCCATTCAAAACTTTGAATTTCATTTACAAACTTTCCCATCACTTCGCGATTCGCCGTTTTTAAAGCAAAAATTAATTGCGAAAATATTGATAGCATTACTTACTTTACCTAAATTATTCGCTAATTACTAATACTTCCAAAGTTCAGTATCCCCTTTCAATCAATGTACAAATCCATTCAAAACTTTGAATTTCATTTACAAACTTTCCCTTCACTTCGCGATTCTCCGTTTTTAAAGCAGAAAACAATAGCAAATCATATCGAGGACAATGAAATGTGATTTTCGAATGTGAAATTTCAAATACTTTTATCTCCATAGAGATTGAAGGAACGATTCTTTCCCGGTTTTTCGGAAACCGCGTTTCCTGGACGATAACCGAGCCCTGGACGCGTCCAGGCGCCGATGATCGACGATTTCAAGGAAACCCGACGATAATGCGCTTATCGCGCTCGTGAAACAAAACGTCCCGCTCGCAGTATTTGCTTTTCGCCGCGGCAGATAAGCGCGGGACTGCCGGCACAGATAACCGAGTTATGGAAAATCGGGAAACTTCGCGACGAAGAACACGCGCGACCGATTTCCCGTGAGCCGTGACGAAGTCATTTCTTCGACCGAGCACTTCTGAAGTCGAACATGATTTACCGTTTCCTCTGCCGTCGGGCTTATCAATTCAGAATGCAGACATTCGTGAAATACGCTAAATATTAGTTAAAATGTTGTACATCTGCGCCGCGCGGAAGCCAATTGTTGAGTTCGGAAAATACAAATTGAAGTAATAATAGTAGATTACTTGTTTAAAATTTCAATTATCTAGTAGATTACTTGTCTACAATTTCAATTATTCAGTAGATTACTTGTTTACAATTTCAATTATTCAAAAGATTACTTGTTTACAATTTCAATTATCTAGTAGATTACTCGTTCACAATTTTAATTATTTTACAACAAATCAACGTGTTTCATACTATTTTCAACAATTCTTTAAGAGTCGCTCTGCTCCCAATATTAACTCGATTTCTTGATATTTCCTAATTTCCTCACGTACATTACTAAATCCCTTGTTTCCTAATTAAAAACGTAACTTCATTGTTCGCTTCAAGGTAACATTTTTACAACGGAACAAACATCTTCCGGATCTTTCAAAAATCATCTACAATTACAAAACAACCAAATATAAATAAACCAACTAAACCACAACCATTCCCCTCTCGAAAAAGGATCCACGATTTCCCAGTCGAGGCGGTCCGATCCAAGAACGGAGCCGTCCCGAGAGTAAAACATTTATCGCGAGCGCCGCTGGAAAAAAAGGAGAACGACGCGTCGCGGTATCGACACGGCGGCAGAACGTTTGATAATAGTCGAAGGAATCGGTAAGCTGCTTACGTTCTCGTGTTTGAAGAAGCAGAGCATCTTCAGCTCCCTGAAGACCCGTTTGCTGCTCACCAGGCTTTGAAAGACGTTCGGCAGTTTCTTCAAGGCCACTCTCCTGCCGTCCCTCGGATCCGTGACCGCCCTGTAAATCAAAGAGATATTGTTATTCGACAATTATCCCGGCAATCGGCCGAGATCGAGCCGCGACCGGCGCGGATCCGCTCGCTCCGCGCGAAATCCGAATTGATACAACAAATTAATACAGGAAAAATTGTTAAAACAGGCAGAGGTTGCAATAAAATAGAATGTCGAGTCTGACTCGACACAGGACTGCTAAGGGTTAAAGAAACCTCAACATCAACGGTGTCCCTAAACCAAACTACTGCCTCGAACAATAATCAAAATACAACCCTCCAAAATCAATCATACAACTCTCCGAACTGATACAACAAATTAATATAGGAAAAATTGTTAAAACAGGCAGAGGTTGCAATAAAATAGAATGTCGAGTCTGACTCGACACAGGACTGCTAAGGGTTAAAGAAACCTCAACATCAACGGTGTCCAAACCAAACTACTACCTCAATCATCAAAATACAACCCTCCAAAGGAAACTCCCTCTCCCAAACACAGGATCAAACAAAGAACTCAACTATCTAAAAATACTTCGATCACGATCATCTACGCCACTTCCACTCTTCATCACTGGAAACACAATCGAATCGAATCGAAAACCTAACAGCCCGTCGATCGAGGTGTCCAGCATCCGAGGACCCCGGGGACCCTCCGAAAATTTCGATCCTCCGATCGAGATCGATGTCCGACCGCCGTCGAAGTCCCCGAAGAGTCTGCGGCGATGCGCGGGGCCATAAATTTCGGGGTTATCCGTCGATTCGTAAACACGTCC